AGAAATATATGTATATATATATATATATATATATATATATATATATATATATATATATATATATATATAAAACAATAGTTTAAAATGTATACAAAATACACATGCATCCCTTTCATTTTCAGATTCCTTTCTTCCAAGGAAATATCGGCCCTATCGTACCTCTCTGGAGGTTGGCTTCCCACGAAAGAATTCATGATTAAGAGAGCTGTGAGGGGGACTGAAGCGTGGTTGCAGGAATACACAGCCATTGGCAACTGCTTCCAAAGGTGCAGGACCTTCATATGGGAAGCCAAAACCTATAAAGAGCTAAAGAGAAAAAAATGCAAAGTTAATGTACACATAAAAATAATCAGAATGCAAAAATATGTGTTTGCAGCCCAACCACAATAAAAAGAAAAAAGTATTTTAGCAATGTATATAAAGGGGTTATATTAGAGGAAATGGGGTTTAGGGCTACAAAAATATCTAAAGAATGACAACCAATCCTTCACTTAGACAACTGAAGTAACTAGTATGAGTATGACTTGACCCATCACAAACACAGCAACAGCCAATATTTGGTTACAGCTGACAGTATATGAGATTGATGATTGGGTTTACATATCCTTTAGGGGATGAAGCTCAGATATCTAGGTACTATGATTATCCCAAGCAAGGATTATAAGCCCTTTGGTGAATGTCCATGAGACAAGTTTTGCCCAAACCTACCACTGAAGAATGCTGCATCTAAGTGAGATCATAAACTAGCAATTTACTGGCAGAACAAATAAGGCTGAGCCTGTTTCCTTACTAGTGGTTTCTAGACTTGGAGATTCCATACACACATCAGATTCTTCTTACCCCCCATCTCAGCCATATTTACAATAGTAGCCTAGGTAGCCTAAGGCAGCTCCAAGCCTCAAATTTTACAAACCAAGATAATTTCTTATTTGGGTTTCCTCTCATGGCCACTTCTGAACATTTGTCTAAATTCAGCAGGATGACTGCTGAGGGAATAGGAAGGTTCAGTATATTTTAGATCAGTGGTTCTCTGTGTAACCTCAGGACCCATATTTGTCCTTGGTCATTAAGTCACGACCCAAGTCTGCAATGTCATGCATGGCATTACAGTACCGCACGTTATGGTGAGGGCGTAGGAACTGTGGGTGGGAGGTGCATTTGGGGTACCATTCAAATAAATGGGACCGCACCAGAATGCATGGTAGGTGCGATTGCTTGGTACAGTGCGTTAATTGCACAGTACTATGAGATTATTGCACTGTACCAGTGTGAATGGGCCCTCAAAAACGCTGACATACATACACCATCTCAGACACAATCTCACTCAATCACAGACATTCTCACACACACATGAACACTCCCAAATATTTAAGATTTTAAGGTAGTCACCCAGTCTGACTACCTTACAAAAACTGGAGTGGACCTCGGGGGTCCAGTGTGGGCTGCTGTGCTGTGACAAAGCCCCATCCATATGTGCATTGCTTGGACAGCTCCCATGCGTGCCCTGTAAAGGTTCCGGGAGCCAAAATTTGATGACACATGAGGGAGCTGTAAGCAATGCATGCATGGATGGAGTTCCCTCACAGCCATACCCCCATTCCATTCCCACCTCAAGCTGACACTTGGCACCAGGCAGCATATTTTGAATAGCTACTTGGCACAAGAACTGACAGTGCTGCGCAAGGGGAAGGCAGAGGAGTCTCTCACCTAGAAAAGTGAAAGCCATACGGGGACCCACTGAACACGGGCCCACAACCCACTTTTGTGTCACGACCCACCAGTTGAGAACCAAGGGTTTAGATAACATGAAACCATCACGCCTTTTTCTGATACCTCAGCCAAACGCTAATAGGAAAATTCCACAAAATGTACTTTTGAGTTTCAGTAACTATGACACATGATACCCTGTACATAATGAATGTTTAGACTGATCCATTGCAAAAAAATGTAGACAGCAGGCCCTGTGAAACATAAATATGTCGCTTTACTATGATGATATAAAAAAAGATGAATAGTGAAATAAAACACAATTTATTATCCTTAATTACAAAAGGTTAATCATCTACAGATTGAATAAACCTTTCTATGTTTACTACTTCTAAGACACATTCCCTGCCAAGAATGACCAAAGAGCTCCGGGAATGAGCCATTAATCCCCTGGCCCATTAAAAATGTGTGGATCAGAGTAAAATACCACTCAACCCCCAAACTGAAATTTTAAAATACCATTTGTTTGATTTATTGAGGACAAGGTAGATGGTCATTTATAACCTTACATTCATCTGTAGATCACTAGAAGAAAACTACACTAAATCCATACAATCATGGGCCTTGTATTTAATGTGTATGTCAGGGCTCCATGTTCTCTCGTCACAAGTGACGAGGGAGCATGGAGCTGGCTTCCTGGCCAATCAGCATGCCGGGCAGCGTGTAATGACGCGCTGCCCGGCTTCCTGATACATGAAGTATCGGGCTAGGCATTGGAGCATTTGGGCGAGTACGAGTGCTCGCCCAAATACTCGGTATCGGCACCGATACTAGTATCGGTGCATCCCTACTACAAACCCAAGTGATCTGATAAAGGTTTACGATTTTTTCCTGAATCACATAGATTATGTTTTAAAGGGATCCCTCTTTTCATTAGAAGGTGTACACCTAGGCCCTATAATCTTAACAGTCTACAATATGTAAAGTATGTTCATTTAGGTTTATTTTTGCACTGGAGGGGGCTTCAGGTAGAATTAGGGGTTTAATAATTTTTTACCAGCTTGCTTTAACTGCAGAATTTAAGTATATCCATAACCCAAACTTCTTTCCTAGTTTTGGATCCAAGTTTTCCAAGTGTGGAATGTTTAGAACCTCTGTCAGATTGTTATTGTGGTCTGTGTTGCCGCTGCGGAGAGGCGATCTATTTTTCTGTCCAGGTCACCATTGTCAGTGGCAAAGAAGGTGATGGGAAATCCAAATTTTTACAGATGTCACTAAAACAGGAGGTAAGGAGAAATTTTTTAACAGGGGGATTTTTTCAGGCAACAACTGTTTAACATCTAGCGGACTAGCCACTTTATATAAACAGTTGGTTTGCTGACACATTGTTCTGGGAGGATGTACCTGTACATCCTACCGTGAACACCTGTGTGTGCACGACCATGGCCACAGCACCCGTGGCTCCCGCTGTAATAGACAGTGGAGGCTATGTATACAGGGCTGATCAGACCGGCTCTGTGTACTGTGATTCGTTATCACAGCAATCACATGGCAATGTTTACATTGCCAATCCCTCCCCTACAACAGAGTACATGAACCAATGAATGGATGAGTAATTCATTTATTATTAGTTCCTGGTGAATACATACTGCAGTAATGAAAATGAAAAGAAGTTCAAATAAATTTTAACCCTTTCACCCCCCCTCCTTCCCGGCCTATAATATCTGCATTCTATCTCTGCTCTGACCTGTACATTAACCCTTTCACCTCTGCCTCCCTCTATCTTCGTCCTGTACATTTATAGTATCTTGTGCATTATTACAAAGCTCCATGTTTTAACCACTTCAATACTGGCATGTTTCTTAATTTCCCAAAAATGTTGGCAAAAAAAAATGTGGGGGCTAAATTACTTTTCTTTTTTTTAGGCTTCTTTCCTTTATTTTCACTTTGTGATCTGGTCACTAAGCTTGCCATTTAATTCCTTTAACAGGCCAAGCTGTCTTGCCGAAGTGGCTGGGACAAACCATTTAGCACTGACAGTGTTGCTTACAACGGTAAGCATTCATTCATTTATTTAAACCATTATCCAAAAAAAGGGGGAAAAAAATAAACTGTTTCTGTAACAGCTTAAAAAGTATTAGCTGGAGTTCAGATTTAATTTGTTCGTCATGTGCATTGAAATTTGCTACAGCATCCAACAACACCCTCCCCAAAGGTTGATAATGTTATTTTCAAAGTGTGGCTCCCTTGCTCCTCTATGGAGAGGAGCTACCCTAAGACAGAAAGTGTATTACTGGCCGTATCACAAGGTGAAACTAAAGGGGAAAAAAAGCACCAAAAAAACGAATACAATTACCACATTTATGGATGGGTAAGCTGTAGTATATTACATTTTTGTTTTGGGGTTTAGATATGCTTTAAATAAATAAAAAAAAACTGGCAAGGTTCTTCACCATTTCATGTTCTACCTAACACTAATATCCACAACACGTTCTAGTTTAGATATATGTTAACTGCAGGGAGATTAAGGACATGGCTACGTAGTCTGGCAGGTTTGACTGGATCACAAGACTACCTAACCAGAACTAAAACTCATTGAACAGAGTATTCAGCTGCTTGTCTAGAGTTCAGCATTAATGTGCTCTTAAAAACTCATTGAACAGAGTATTCAGCTGCTTGTCTAGAGTTCAGCATTAATGTGCTCTTAAGTACAGATGGTTCGTTTTCACAAGAGTGCAGCGTTTAGCTATAAACAACAACTTTATTATGTCTTGGGTTGGCTGAGTACGATGGAAAAATCTGTTGTCTTCACCTGTTATATAAATAACCTCTTGGAATAATTCTGTCTGAAAGTATTAGTCCCAAGGAAAGATGCAACATAGCAGGTACATATTGTGTTTGAACAAACAGCTGTTTTCCTGAAGTAAATCTACCAAACACCCAGGAGACTGTCCTGAAGAACAGATGACTTACTTCATATGCTTTTTAAAGAGATACTACTGTATACTTTCAATGGTCACACATTCATTATTGTATGGTTTAGGTAAAAGTTAATTTTAATGCAACTTCCGTGTTTTACATTATATTTTTTATAGTTTTCATATATTTATATGTTTGTTGTTCCATATTTTGACAATTGTAATTTATACACAATTTTGTATGATTCCTATTATATCAATTTGTCAAGCGTTAGATTCAAATTATTAACCACACAAATTATGATTAATTTCATTCAACTAGATTAGGTAAGAGAGAGGAATAAGGCACAATTACTCTAATTAATCTACTAACCAAGAAGCAGACCCTACATATGTAATGGGCAAATGTGACTGCTCCTATATACAACTATAATTACAAATCATATATATGAATAAATTGATAAAACCATAAGCATGCATTGATAAAAGATCTTTTGATAAGCGGGTGACAATTAAGTATGTACCTGAAAAAATGAAAAAGATTATACACTGCCTGGCCAAAAAAAATCCACCACCTGGATTTAGCTAAGCACATAGGTAAGAGCTATAGGGGTTGCTACAGTTGGTCAGGTCTAGGTTCATCAATGTTATGAGCCCCAAAAATTAGGTCAGCTGCCAAACTGAATATACTGAATGACCAGGTTTTTCCATTGATGAATTTTTTCTTCCCTGATGGCACATTGGGCATATTCCAAGATGACAATGCCAGGATTCATTGGGCTCACATTGTGAAAGAGTGGTTCGGGGAGCATAAGACATCATTTTCACACATGGATCAGCCACCACATAGTCCAGACCCTAATCCCATTGAGAATCTTTCGGATGTGATGGAGAAGACTGTACACGGTGGTCTGACTCTCCCATCATCACAACAAGATTTTGGTGAAAAATTAATGCAACTCTGAACGGAAATAAATGTTGTGACATTGCATAGGCTTATCGAAACGATAAGGAGGATGGACTTTTGTTTTCAGTGCTGTTGTTTTGAAGACTCATTTTCAGATTTCTTTTTGCAACCTTTTTTGTTCCTTATTCAAGATTCTTCCTTAGACTGCTGATGATGGTTTTACCGACCCACTTGCAGCTATCTGGCATGGTCATCCTCAGCCTGGCTTTTGGACTGTATTGAACCGGACCCAGCTGGACATTGCGGGGTGAGCCTGGAAGTGACCTTTGGGCATTGAGCTCCCTGTAGGTGCTTTCCAGACTAGTTCTGGTTAAGTCAGCTGTGGAACTCTTTCCAGGTCAAGAACCACAGGTATTGTCTCTATGCTTGCTCTGTCTATAAAGACTCAATTAGGCTATTGAGGCCAGGCAACAAAAGCTCCTTCATTTGTATTGGTTGCTGGTGATCAAAATTCCCCTGTTTTCCTACCAGTTTTTTTGTGGAAGGAGTTAACGTTGTCAAGTTTGCCACGACAAAGCATCAAGGAATCATCTTCAAAGTGTTTGATCCACATGGCAATAGAGGGACAATGTCCCTTTGGACTGGCTCTGGATGCTGTCATCAAGGATGTTACTGGGACATTACTAAAACACTCATCTTCCCCAGTGGAAGAAACATAAGGAGCAGACTGCTAAGTCATCTACATTTGTCCATGCCAAGAAGCACTGCTTTTGCTTCAGCCCTCCTCAGCTTCCACAGTGAAGCCCCCCCCACCCCCCAAAGGGTGGTTCCCTATCAAGCCATAAGGTCTGATGCTGCAAAGCTGCCAGATCCACCAAGAAACTCCTCCATGGGATAAAGGTGCACCCCCACTTTCCTGTGTATCTCAAAGGATTAGAAAGATATAAGATGTTTGTACTCACTGTTTGCATTCTTTTCTTGGAGTCCATTTAAGTGACACAGGTGTTTATGTTCATGCTCTTGGTACTGCTTTGCTGCAAAACTGAGGCATGCTGGTAGTAGGAGGGGTTACACCCTGGGCTGGCATATAGTTGTTTGTTTTTCAGTGTTCATGCCTCCTGTGGGTGGCAGTATAAGCCAAAGTTCTAAGACTTTCTGTGTCCCTCAATGGACTCAAAGAAAAGGATTTTTTAGGGAGTACAAAAAAAATCATATTTGAGATTTTGTTAGATACTAGAGAGTTAGTATCTAAAGCCAAAAAAGTGTTTAAATAATGAATAGTAAGTTATTAGAATCTTACTATTCAGGAGATCAGTTCAGTAGTGACTTGGGGGTCAGCAGGAGAATCCACTGATCATTACGGAGGACTGAAGAGACTGACACTCGGAAGTGATTATTGGTGCACAAATTTCAGATGACAATCCCTCTTGATCAGACCCGTGTTTAGCAGCAGCTGCAGCAGGAAAGATAAGTAGTCTTCTTTACGGGCACAGAGTTGCTTTAACCTGCAAACTCTTAAAAGTATCCCTCAATTTACACTCAACTCGATAATGTAGCTTTAGACTTAACTCCTTAAAGGAGAACTATGGGGTCAGGGCTTTTCCCCATAGTTCTCCTTAGGGTAACGGGAGGACACAAACTAGCGTCCTCCCGTCACCCTAAGCTCGCGGTATACTGAGACGCCGCAGCCGGAGCGGATCCCGACATCGATGTCAAGATCCGCCCAGCTGCGTGAGCGACAGCTGGCTCTGCCTATCTAGAGGCAGAGCCAGCTGTACTCGCCCCCCCCCCCCCCCCACCACCCCTCGTCAGTTCCACCAGTCAGCGCTGGTGGATCGGAGCGGGGAGGGGGGAATCCAGTCCCTCCCTTGTCACGGCAGAGAGCCGTGACAGGATCGAGAAGTTCGCTCACCTCCCGATCTACTGGGCCGACCTGTGACAGTCTCATTGTCACGGGTCGGCTAGAACTATGAGGTGAGTGAAATGCACTCACCTCATAGTTCTCCTTTAAATCCTAGCTCTATCCATTGGGCTATGTTCACACTTGAAAAAAAAGGGGAGCACTTGGCTTAGATAGCCTGCCAAGAATGTATGTTATTACCCATCTCATCACAAAATGTACCTTGGCCTTCTTGAGCAGATGCTGTAGGTCCTGTTGGGGCAGCAGTCCATGATTTTTGACAAACGCAGGAACCTCAGGGGGCCTCTGGGTCTCGAAATAAACCGTCCCATGCACTTCCATGTAGTTGTGTAGAACGGACAGAAACTTTTCCTTACCCTGTAAATAAAAGGAATCATTTGTTCACTAGCAGCAGGTAAAAGTCTTTTGTCAGTATTTGTCAGCATTGCATTCACATCAAGAATCCACAGAACCTTACCCTGTTAAGATATTTTTCTGCATATTATGAATGTGTTGCATGCGTGACTGCATTGTAAATTATATGCCACATACGTCTCCTGTGATTGATGCTTTCCTAGATTAATCTAAAATGAATCATGCTGGGCTAATAATTTAACAACTGAGTGTAGCTATGGTATAGCTCACACATGATCTGTTCCATGTAAAATAAATGGATTCATTTCATATTGATTACTCTCTGGCTATTGGTTTAAAGGACACCTGTCATAAGAGAAATACATAGACTGCCATTGCTAAACTCCTGAAAAATGGAACTAACTGACTCACATACTGATCTTCCGGATTCAATTATTTCACTGACCCAGAACAAGCATACAGAAGGTATGACCTTACTTGCTGTGTGCTTGTTCCCGGCACAGTGAAGCAGAACACAAAGAAGCCAAAAGATGGCCATGACAACCAGTCAGCATTTTCAAGATTTTTTTTATTTGCCCTGCCGATATGCTCTAAAGGTCTTTCCCAAGAGAGAATGACTATTTACTGATGTAGATTTCATTAATCGATAGCCTTGATCTCTTGGGATAAAAGTGACACCTAGGTTTCATCGGTATACACAGTTATGTAAGGCAAAACACTATGCCAAAAATGTAATATATTGCACCTTACCAGCCCTCAAAAGGGTAGCTGCATTTGTCTTCTTTTTTTGGCGCTTTTGTATATCTTTTACCTGGTGATCCTGTCCTTGGGTGGAAGAGCTCACTCACTATAATGTATCTGCAACACTGTCACCCTAGGACAGGATTACAGAACACCTCCTCCTTGCCATAGGGGGAAAACAGCTGGGAATGATGCTAACTGAGAAAAGTGCAGCACAGGCAGAGAGCCCAGGAAATCAGCTCACATGGTTTCTGGCAGAAACCATGCAAAAATCCTCAGATTTTTTTGCACATATCTTACAGATATGACAAAGCACCTCCAATGGTATATTTGAACAAGCAAAGGGAGTTTATTGTTAGGATTTACATACATTGGTAGATAAATCTACAGTCTCATCCTAGTTTTGCTGTCATGAGCTATAATGTAGGTGCATAGTCATATTTAGAAGTGGGAAAGGGTCCTGCTGTGTCATTGTTCTGGGATTTTAAAGACATGGGTCCAGTGCAATGTAAATATCACAATTCAGGGCCTCAAAACTACTGGAATTTGGCCATATTTTGTTTCTACATATTTGGAGAAATCTGCTTATTAGCAATGGTTTCCAACCTTTTTTCATGCTGGGCCACAAGTACAAGTTCTGCAACTTGTGGGACCCCCAACATCAGCTTTTAGTAGTGCTACAAGGGTCTAAGTAGAATTCTTTGTATTATTTATTTTTGCCTTTCTTTTTTTCCTCATCTGGTCATTCTTCTACTGAGCTTTCTCATCATAAGTGTAGACAGCTCCATTCCTTACAATCCTTTCACACACGCTTTATAGTTTACAAGCTATATGAACCTGTCAGTGTTTCAATAACCATTTCAAAGTTGCAGCTAAATTCACTATAATACGAGCAATTAGGAGATAGACAGAGGTCCTTACCTGCAACTGTGCAATATCATCAAGGAAGGTACCAAGGAAGAAAGAGAGAGGGGTGTAGGTAACTCATGAATTTGACAAGTTAAAAAAAATGGAATAAGTCAACTTGGAAATCAGGAAGGCATGGTAGAAATATACATTTTTTAGATTAAAAAAAGATTATAAAGAATGTAACAATGTTTTAAGAATTCAGGCTGAATAGAAAAGGTTGCTTCCTGCCAACATGCTGCATAGTGGAACCCTTCCTCCCTGTAGGGAAGCAGTGGTCTCCCTGCAGAGGTCCAACATGCCCCCTACTGAGTCAGAACTATAGCTCTGCAATCAGCAAAGCTCAAGCTTAATGCATATTGGAGAGCTATGGCTATGACTCAGTAGGGGGTGTGTCAGACCTCTGCAAACAAATCACTGCTTCCCTACAGAGAGCAAGGGTCCCAGTCTGCAGTTGCTGGCATGGGACAGGATTTTATATGTAGGCTGTATCTATTTTTTTTTTAAAACAAACTGTTAAACTCTGAACACCTTTTTGTTTTGATGCATGTGGAATATATTTAGCTGATTTTAAATAAAAATTCAGTGTTAGTGGATTTAAGACATACAGCTGAAGCACTAAAAAAGATGGACTGACATTTTAAAGAGGAGATCACTGTGTGCGGCAATAATAAAGCTGGCCATACACTATATGAATTTCAGCCGGTGGGTGCCACTGTCGACACCCTTCCGGCCGATATCCCAATCAGCTGCAAGCTCCGTTTGGGTATTCTGACAGCAGTCAGCGGCCACTGCCAGAATACAATGAAAACAGCAGGAGATTTCTCCGTCCACGCTTGTAAGCATTGATGGAGGAATCAGTTACATTTTCTTCGTTCAGCCTGCAGATTGAACAAAGAAAATATAACCGCTTTAGATGATAAGACAACCCCTTTACTCTCTGCTGACAGGGCCCCAGATATTATTTTTTAACTTCAGTAGTGCACCAGTATCCCAAGTGTTAGGTGCATTTCCTCTATATCTAATATGGTTAGTGAATTTCACTATTCAATAGCAAGACAACTTAAGCTGTCAGGTAAGAAAAACTACAGCGTGGTACAATGTGGTATTAGTCATTTTCTTAGGCACCCCAAAGCACAGAATCAGGAAATGTGCTGCATTGAAAAAAATAGGGTCGTGTCCACTTTTTCATTTGTTATATTGTGATACCAGCATATGCAATATAAGCTGCCTTAATGCAGCTTGTTTATCTGCCTGAGACCTGCCCCAACTACCTCCCCTCAGCAGTCAGCGCTCACCTCGTCCCTCCTATGCTCCACGCTTATGGACTGTCCCTCGAAGTTCTCACATATAATGCAGGGCTATGTGCCCTGCGTTGTAAGTGATGAAGTCAGCATGTCTCTGACCACCAAAGCTGAGGGGGGAAGAGGCACAGTAACCCTAGACCTAAATGAGCAGTTAATCCTTGCAGTGCAGGGGTAGCCCCACTGCAAGGGGAGGTTTTTTTTCTTGGAGATAAGCTTTAACACACAATAACTTATTATGTTATTGCAATGTATGATGTGAATGGGCCCAATGATTTCCTCACAGACAATAATTCCAGATGCAGTAACAACACACAAAGTAATTACTGAATTACAGCACAGCAAACCTGAAGTACAGCAAACCTGAGCCTTAGGTCTCGTTCACACCTAGGCGTATTGCATATGCGCGTCTGTCGCGCGTTTTTTACCGCGATTCGCGGTAAAAAAAAGTCGCGCGACCGTCGCGCGTTTCCCAAGGCTACTTGGCTGTATCCCAATGGAAACGCGCAACAAAACGGCCCAAAGTAGTACCTGTACCTTTTCAGGCGTGGGCCGTTTTGTAGCGCGTTAGGGACGGGCGGAAATACGCCAAGGTGGGAACGAGACCATTGAATACAATGGGATTTAGATTTTTGAGCGTTTTGTAGAGCGTTCGTCGAGCGTAGAACGCGCTACAAAACGTTCAGGTGTGAACGAGGGCTCATGATTTGGGTTTGTTAGTCTACCGTGACAATGCAAACAACAGCAACTGTTTCATATAATGACAAAGTGGGAGATATGGAAGGGCCTCAAATTAAAGTGGGACTGAAATGATAAAAAAAAAAAAACACTTCCTAGCCTTCCTGATGAAAAATGAATGTGTCTGGAATACCATTATTGCTCATGGCTGAACCGCACGGATACCAGAGATAAGAAACAAGATGACAGGCAAAAGAAAAAAAAAATCCAAGCAGCTCTGTGACTTCAATCCTCATTCATACAAGACGGTGAAAGTGAGATGTCCATTCAAAGAACCCCAGTACCCATGAAGTTTCTCTACCAACAGGAAGAGTCAAAAATTAATTAATATATCACACATAAAAAACAGCTAACCTGTTTCTGGGGCCAATGGTACTCCCCCTTCATCAGGACTTAAAATATATTCAGAACCTTGGACTCATTGCCTCTAATAATTCTGTAACAATTTTTACACAAATTAATTTAGAAAGCCTATCTTTGAATCTATCCTCAACTATGTTCCAAGCCCTAATGAACACAGAGGATGTTTTTTGATGTTTTTTATGTGGGAACCATTAAAGCATTTTGGACTCCTCTACCATTTGCTCTGGCTCTCCTTCTTTTGGTAAATACTTTGAGTTACTGTCAAAAGACTTGTCTGCATCTGAGTGTGTTTATCCATATACAGATGTCATCAGGAAACAAGGGGGGCGATGAGTTGTGTTTTCTTTACAATATCAGCTATACTTTAGGGTCCATTTTACATTTAAAGTGGATACCTCTAATACAGCACATTGGAAAGTCCGAAATTAGATACACACACATACAGGGTTTTTCAAGATTTATAAGTAAGGAGAACCTCTGAAGAGCTGGCCAGAGTATAAAAACTGAAGGTATTGTGAGATGCTAACAGAGAGATGTAGAAACATACCTTCCACATAGCTGCTTCCTTTCCATATACAACAGCCATATTCCTGACCTTGTTAAGAGCTACTTGTTGGCGCTCTGTTTCATTGAGTTCATCCGTCACAAATCCCATAAAGGAATTATCTGGAGTGTGAGCTGTAGAACAAGACAAAGCAAACAGTCCACAAGCAGAGGTATATGCCATTGCAGCAGTGAGCACGGAGTACAGAGGAGATCATGAGCCACAACAAGGTGCATGGGCATAGTTCGATCAACACAAGAGGAGCCAGCATGTAATCCATGCTCAAGGGAAAGGCACCTGAATGGATGGATAGCAGTCCTCATAGTACAATGGACATGCAAAATCATAGGTGAACATAACTATCAGAAGCAGTGCCATGCTATGACATAAGTGCAATAATACAGCTGTGTTTATGGCAAATTGGAGGCTAGCATAGGTAATGATGAACTACCGAACCTCTTTTATCTCTCTCCACTACACAGTCCCCTTTGTACTATCTCTATCACTATCTCTATCCTTCCCTCTTCAGTCCAGTGTTTTTTCATCCTCATGCTTGTACCCTAGCTGTTAGTACTGTATATCTAGAACAGAATACCTCACTTATAACTGAATCTACTCCTCTAAGTTTTCTTTGTACATGGTACGCTGCCACAGCTAACAATGGACACATCAGTTTATATCTGTATTTAAAGCATGCTTTAAGTACACCTACGCTGAGAGAACTATAGGGACTGCCATTGCTGAACTCCTTTGTGAAAAGGATAGTTGTCTGGCTGTCTCCTGTATCAATATCAGGTGACAGACCTAGAACAATCATTCAGATTAGTAAAGTCAGATTGAAGTGACTGCAAAGTAACTAGCACGTTTAGAAGTTAGGGCAGGGATGGGAGCATCCATACTTCTTCGGTATACTTTAAGGTAGCTTAAAGTGCACCTAAACTCAAAAAGAGGACATTTTTGACCATTAAATTACACCAACCTGATCATAAAACAATCAGTGCCCAAACCTGCAAATAATTAACAACTATACAAGCACGCTCTTCTCTTATTACATTAGTTAACTGATGGCAGTATATTAGTGCTTTATAGCACTAAATATGTTTAAGGTTCACTGCTACAGCAGTTCCACTAGTTCAATTTACAACAGTACAAACAATAGATACATTGGGTGTGGATTGAATGTGTTGTCCTGTTATTACCCCCTATACAAGCAAATGGGCATTTTCCAGGTTTTTGTAGAGTAGATATATGATTGGTTGCGTTGCACAATAGTCACTATCCTTCTATAAGTTTTACACTAGACACAGTATTATCACTACTTACAATAGGCGACACTCATTTACATGCATAATTAAAGGGGGACACTACTGCCTATCTCACAGTTGTGGGAAGATCACCTTGTTAACGTGCTTTCTACAAAACATGTACATATAAAAATGATGCAACACAAACTGAAAATGTAAACACAAATCTATCTTAGCAAATCAACAAACTGAAAAACATGTTTGAATGTTGCATGCTACGATGTCAGATCGGTTCAATTCAGCCCCCCCCACAACTCCATTCCCAAACTCACGGAACATTGTCATGAACTGTTTGGGATGCAGGTTCCAGTAGCCCCAGTTTGTGCGGTAGCCATGGAGCGTGGCATATTCTTCGTGGTTATACGCCGGCTCTGTCCCAAATGTGTCCACCACTCGCAGACGGCACCTGCAGGAGGGGGGTGTTCATGGTGTGGACCCTCTCTGTTAGGGGCCAAATGTCGGTGTGCACTAGTGGGCAGGGATCTTTTAATAAAAAGAGTTTTCCACTTTACAGCGACAGTAGACTCCTGGTTTAGACCTCTATATTGAGCAACATTATGGGGTCCCCTTCTTCCACAATAAGTAACAAAGGAACCCTTATGCTATTATTAAGTACTTTTTTTCTATATTAAAGCATTTATTTTTGCAATTATACCTTTTTTAGAATTTGAATGGACATGCTGCAATACCAGTTTTAAGTTATGGTGCAGGTAAAACCTGAGAAAACTTCTGATCTTAGGAAAATGTAGGGCTCTAGGACTGAAGAATCCCTGAGTTTTTACATAAAGAGGTCTCCAGCAAGTCAACTTTTATAGTAAAGTGGAAGAATCTTTGGAATTGATTGTAGGTAGCTAAGGGTGGTTGCAGTGAAGTCAGATGTGTCTATTGCAGGGTGGAGGGCAAGAAGTCATAGGTCAAAGGGACGGTCTCTGGCACAGTCTGGGAGCATTTTAAAATCTGTGTCGGTGTTTACCATGTATAGTCTTTCTCTTACCTGTATTTCCTGAATGACAGGCCCATGTGTTGCTTCATTTGTTGCATGCCGTGATAGTCCGTGTAGATAAGATCGAAATGTAAAGGTTCTGTTAACGGGCAATTTCCTCTTCCTGGGGGGACACCTAAATAACTGAGATACATACAAATGTTATATTAGCAAAGCATTTAGTTACTAAACGTATTATACACACACGGTTTCATTTAAATCATTGAAAGGTTGGTGTATTCCAGAGACTGTTTTGTGAACTGCCCCTTTCCTTTTTAATCTTTTGCTCGCTGAAATCTGGTTCTTTAGCCTAACCTTTATTTAGGCATTAAAGCTTACTCTGTTTGGTTCTATTGAGAATTACTATGTAACAGTAAACTGGGAGCTGGAATACAAGAAATATTTTAAAAAAACTCTGATGCCCCAACATATATTTATTTTCAGGGTATCAATAATATGGCAGTCCTCTGGAATCTCAAAATAAAGACAACGGAAAACCTCTCCGCTAGACTTACAGGAGAACTATGAGGTGAGTGATTTTCACTCAATCTCATAGTTCGATCCGACGTGTGACAATGAAACTGTCGCACGTCGGCTCAATAAATCGGGAAGTGAGCGAACGCATACCGTCGCTCGCTCACTTCTCGATCCTGTCCCTGCAGAGAGCCGTGACTGTCACTCACGGCTCCCTGCAGGGATTCCCCCCTCCGATCCACCAGCGCTGACTGGAGGAACGAACGGAGGAGGGGCGGGTACAGCTGGCTCTGCCTCTAAATAGGCAGAGCCAGCTGTCAATCACGCAGCTGGGTGGATCTTGACAGTAATTTCGGGATCCGTCCCGGCTGTGGCGGTCTCAGTATACCGCGAGCTGTAGCTCGCGGTATACTGAGCTTTGGGTGACGGGAGGACTCTAGTTTGTGTCCTCCCGTGACCCTGAGGAGAACTATGAGGAAAAACACTGACCCATAGTTCTCCTTTAAGTCACAATTCCTCAAATATGATCAACTACAAAGCATCACTTTCTGGTCTTAATGTACTTTCACCTTACAGTTAGTTTGGGGAATGTTTACATGTCCAAATGTCCTTTTCAGCATCCTTTGTTCAAGCCTGGCTAGGCACTTTTGGAGGATAAAGCAATTGGCTAGGATCATTTTTCCCAACCAATCATGATTGTTTTTCCGGATTGTCATGCTGGTGCTAAGCATTCTTCCAACAAAGACCCCACATGCGCATGTACAACATGCATGTTTGCAATATAAAAATTATTTGCAAGACAGATCATGCATGCAGGCCCGTCAACCACCTACAGTACGTAGACAGCTTAACACTCATCCATTCTAAATGTTATCACTAACATATAGATGAAGTAAGAATGGCTCTATGACTGTCAATAGTGCAGATGAACCAACTAGTAGCCCAAACATCATATTGGGCTCTAGTAATCCTCTATAACATTATCAAGTAGCAAAATCAACAGTGCGGTCACTATCCTCACCTCTGGAGCTCTTTCACAGACACTGTTATTTTTAGACTGTGACCCAACACATACAGAGCTGCAAGGATATCTGCCCACTGCACCATCTCACCCAGGGGTCCACCTTTCAGCACCCTAGGACTGAACACATCACCAGACTCCTCTGTCAGAAAACCAATATGGACCAGGATCTGGAGAGATATGGAAACGTGTATAAAGGACAAGTCAGTGGAAGATTTGAAGACAGGTAGACAATCAGCCACTAAGACAACTATAGCATAGTAAACTGAAATAAGAGGTCTTGAGACCTGTTTCTGCTCATTAGGTGTACTTTGAATCTTGGCCTCCAACCTTCGGGCAGCCAACAGCCACTGAGCCTCTAGTCTCCTTAGCCTCTTCTTCATAAAAACAAGAGACTCCTTGCCAGTTCCCATTACATCTAGAAGAGACGACAGTTCTGTGCGGAAAGCAGCCTAAAAAACAAAGAAGCAAATGAGAACGCATGAGATGTGCACAAATAAAAAAATATGCAGTTAAACTGTGTTACAAATAATTAGGACCACAGCATAGGGAAAGCTGAAGTGGTTGTCTACCAATAAAAGAGTCCACGCCACACACTAGCAGGACATGATGTTTTATTCATGGTACTTCATAGGTCATTACTGCTTTCTGCCTTCAGTCCAAAGAATAAAAAATATGGGTAGTGTACTCCGATCTAAAGTATACAACTGTCTCATCATATGCGAGAAAATTGAAGTGTTCCTGAAGCCTGCTCTTATCTTTATTGCCAACAGCTTGGTGTGAAATAATGTATTCAAAATAAAAGACCCAGTCTGAAAATGACCCTGCAAGAATAGCATTTAAAGTATAATCACCTCCAGGTGAACTAGTCCAAGATTCCTCAAACTTTATTGTAAATTCGCTGTGTTGCCAAGTTCTGAATAAATTGCTGTTTTCCTCCCCAGGAATGGTTTATAAATGGGGTAGTTTTCCTTCAATCTAACCTCCTGAGCAGCCTCAGTATTGTATTAGGGAAAGTTACAGTGTCTCTATCACTTTGGATGTGGATGGGCCTTGTGTGTTTCACTCAGCTGTAGACCTTTCACCCATCTCGGAATTGGTGCTGACAATGTCCTTCCTTCTGGAGGGTGGCTACTTTTATTCTCCACCCCAAGCTCACTCCTGTGATGGACTACAATCTCATGCTTAATTTTTCGAATTTGTATGGAGATTGTAGTCCATCACGCAAGGGAACTTGGAGAGGTGGCTACTTTACAAAACACACAAGGACCATGGGGAAAAAAGTAGCCACCCTCCAGAAGGAAGGACAGTGTCAGCACCAATTCAGAGATGATTTGAGGATGTACAGCTGAGTGATACACAAATAAGGTACGGTATTTTTAATAGGCAAGGTACTTGAGTGCATTTGTAAGACATAATTCCTGACTTTAGTGTCACTTTAAGATTACCGAGGGACATCTGTACACAAAAAGTGTATAGAACAGAGGTAGGCAACCTTGGCACTCCAGCTGTGGTGAAACAGTGACCGGTGGCTCAGGAGGTGAAAACTAAATATCTTCTTTGCAGGGGGGCACATTTTTGACCATTATGGTAAAGCAATTAAATCTATGAAATCAGTCAACAAGCAATGCTTTGCTTTCTAAATTTTAGAGTATAGTAATGATGAGATCATCTATAAAGCAGCACATATACTGTGAAGAACTTATTTGATAGTGTTACATTGTTGCTAAAATACATTTCATCATCTTTCATTTGTAGATGCCTAGCAGGAACATTCACTATTCCTGTTACAACAAATCCAAAACTGTTTAATGTGCTGTTTTGCCAAAGTGTGGGAGGACTTTGAGGACACGTCATTAAAGGAGAACTATGGGGTCAGTGTTTTTCCCCATAGTTCTCCTTAGGGTAACGGGAGGACACAAACTAGCGTCCTCCCGTTACCCTAAGCTCAGTATACCGCGAGCTACAGCTCTCGGTATACTGAGACGCCGCAGCCGGAGCGGATTCCCGACGTAGATGACGGGATCCGCCCAGCTGCGTGAGTGACAGCTGGCTCTGCCTATCTAGAGGCAGAGCCAGCTGTACCTGCCCCCTCCCCGTCCATTCCGCCAGTCAGCGCTGGCAGATCGGAGCGGGGAGAGGGGAATCCAGCCCCTCCCCTGTCACGGCAGAGAGCCGTGACAGGATCGAGATGTGAGTGAACGCCGTTATCTGTTCGCTCACCTCCCTATCTACTGAGCCGACCTGTGACAGTCTCATTGTCACAGGTCAGCTAGAACTATGAGGTGAGTGGAAATCACTTATCTCATAGTTCTCCTTTAATGAAAACTAAATGAAAAAGTTTCCATGGTCACGGTGTAATATACTTAACACTAATGTGTTAAAAAGATATTGAAAGATATAAATATATTGGTCTGGAAGCTTAACTTTTCATTGCACAGCTATTGGGTCGGAGTTAGCAAGGATGATTTACTAAAGGCACATAGGCTGTTCACTTTCCAATGGAATAGCAGGAGAAACTTCCCTTTGCAAAGAATACCCAATCACGTGCAAGGAAAATAAAAAAAACTGTATTTTCAGTTGCATTTGATTGGGTGATGGAAGTCAGCAGAACTTATCCACTAAACTAAGGGAAAATTCCGCCTGCAAAGTGCAAATTACATTGCAAAATGAACGAAATGTTAAGTCTTGGCATGATATTTAACAATAACTACACGTCAACATTGCTAAGACACTACAATTGAAATATTGCTTTAAAATTGTTTCTAAATCCTTTTTTTTTTTTTAAGGTGTTTCTGTTTTATTCATGGTCCCATGAGCACTAAATTCCCTTCTTTCACATTGGATAGCGGAAGTCTCACACGAGACTCTGGTGACTCCACGCTCTGCAGATTCCTGATGTGCTGACAGCAATACTCCCTTTGGAAGCCGCTCTCAATCTACACATTGTGGCAGCCTGGGAAGTGTGACTGCCTGCATAATCACAGTCAGACTACTATAGTGTACAGGACGCCACAAGTTGGTATGGTTTCCCGTACACTGACACATGGGAAGCAATGGAGGGCACGGCAATGATAAACCAGTAAGTACCCTCTGATCCAGAGATTATCAGGTAATTTAAGCTTAATGGAGCAAGAATGGGCATCCATGGCAGATTTAAAAGTATGGGAACATTTAAAATCTATGGGGTAACCTTTTTTTGACATATACTAATGGTAATATTGCTATATTATTATATTAATATTGTCGGGATCCACCCCACTGCCTGGTTGACAGCTGTGCCCGCCCCCTTTCCCGTCTGTTCCTGACAGCTCAGTGTCACAGTCACACATAAGTTTTAATTACGGGGATGAGTCTAATTCACTCTCCCCATAATGCTCCTTTAATGCGTTATGCTCATTTGGGTTCGCGGACACTTTATTTTATTTTTTTATATTTTGTTTCGTTCAAAAGGTTTTTATTTGTTTTTAACACAAAGAAAAGAAATTATTACAATATCACATTCAATGTGGTATACTATGGTGTATCAAAAAGAGCATACAAAATTAGTTTTTTATAGTAAAATGCTACAATCAAATAAGGTAATCCAGAAGGATATAATGTGGGTTCGCGGACACTTTAATGGAGTTTCTTCCAAGATTCTGTCAATGAACAGTCAATATCATACCTGCTTTTTGGGGTGGGCCTTAGAAAATAAATGAAGAGATTGATTCCTCCAGGGCAACACTGGGCAGAACCATTCCACCTCACTAAGATACATTAGGAAGGAGCACTCTGTCCCATCCACTCCATAGAAGGCATAACACGGGTCTGATGTCCACCGGGATCGCATCCACTGAAACAGATATTATCACAATTGCAGCTAAATAAAGTCATGAAACTTGAATCTAGTATAAACATGTAGAAGAGTCAATGGTAGGACAAAGTTCTTAGCTATAATGAGCATGGTAAAAAAATATATGTTTTCATTAACATTATGATGTGAAATTGGAAATATACATACATACATATATAGAAACATACATACACACCTACTGTATAATAAATATATAATATATATATATATATATGTATATATATATATATATATATATACCGTGTTTCCCCGAAAATAAGACACTGTCTTACATTTTTTTTGGGCTCAAAAAAACACACTAGGCCTTTTTTTCAGGATAGGTCTTATTTTAGGGGAAACAGTGTATATATATATATATATACACACACACACACACACACACACACACACACACACACGCACACATACATATATTACTGTTTGGCTTTAATTAAGAACTTTTTTTACACCAGCAGTATTTGGCTGTGTTGCGCAATGTCCCAACGCAAGAACAAGGCAATCTGACTAACGTCCTATGACTTCAGTTTGCCTGATGAAGGGGATCATGTGAGACCCCGAAACGTTGTATCTTGTGTTTTGCATTTGCAACAGGTACGTGAATAAATAGACGTATTGGATTTGCTTTGAAATGCCGGTGTCCATCTTTTACTTATTAGCACAGCAGCACACGTTCACAACACGCACCAGCACACATGCATCATGCACACAATAGCATGTAGTGTGAATGGGCTCTTAGTGATTTGATGGCATATTGCTGAATCAAATAAACAAAGAATAAAACAGATAAAGACAACATTAAACATACCTCCACTTTCCCAGAGCAGTCGGGGTATCTAGGGTCTCTTGGGATGTCACAAAGGTCCCTCTGACCATCAAGCACTAAAAATAAATATTTACTAACAACACATGGTATAGCAATGCATGCTCCAAGACATACACTCTATTAACTACACACAGAACTAACGGATTAGTCATAAAACCCATTTAATCAATGGAGATTGCAAACGTAATGAGTCATTTAGCTTGCAGCAGATGCTCATAGCTTATGCTATCATTGGCCACTAGAGCTCTGATATGAGCTGCAGCTAAGTTCTAGAGGTCATAAAGTAGAATTCAGCCCGGGTGAGCCATCACGTCGGCACAATTCCCAACTGTTTACACTCAAAAGGATTGACAGAACAAGAGGGAATCAAAGGTCTAGAACAAACAATGAATGGGATATCATGAAGGCCCATTGTGGCTTCACCTCTATTCCAGGCCTGGTCAACTATATCACTGTGAAATCTATTTGCTGTATCTGAACTGCTCATTCAATTTATAGTTTAACTCTAATAGCAAATTAACTTTCAAATAACAATGTTCACAACTTTCACAAGGTTATTGTTGAGGATACTGTTCACTTAGCAAGACTAATGTTAAAGTGTATGCAAACAACAACAAAAAAATCAGCGTACTTTACTCTCTGTTGATATGGATGGGGGAATTGTTCTCTGTCCCTGCATGCTTACTTTTTGTTAGTTCCGACCCATTGTTCCTGTACTAAGTTGACAACACTGACAGAGCCCGTGCTTCTACAGGAACTGCGTTGTCAGCCATGGACTGCTAGTTGGCTGTGCACTGGCAGGTGGGCATGACCAAACTATAGTACAGCCTCCAGCTCCTGTGCTGCTCACCAGGGATGAGCTTTAGTTTAAACTAAACCCAAGCTCACCCAAACCAGGAAGGCAGCCTTCCGTGTTCAACCAATCAGCTGCAGACAGGGCATTCCTTGCCCTGCAGCTGCATGTAAACAGAAGGGTGGGCTGCCGGTGAAATCATTGACCTTATATGGCCATACGCCCATATTTGGTGAATTACCAAATATGGACATCCCTACTGTTCAACGCTATGATGTGAAGCAAAGAGCTGGAGAGAAAAAATAAATAAAATAGCAATACACATTATCTTACTATAGTGAAATTATTTATGTCCATCACTAGTTAGGGTTTACTTATATTTTAATCTTTTAGATTGTAAGCCCTCACGGGCATGGTCCTCCTTGCCATCTTGTCTTGAATTGTATTGTAATGTCTTCCTTATATTGTAAAGCGCTGCGCAAACTGTTGGCGCTATATAAATCCTGTATAATAATAATAATTTAGCTTTGTCAGTAAAATGATGCAATGTTCACTTTGAAATCTATCATGTGCACAGGAATCACAAAAAACACAATTCTGTCTTGTAGGTGACTGGATTATTGAAGTGAATACAGGTTCCCTTTATTCACTAAGACAAGAGAGAAGTCATTTTGCTAAGAGAACATTTTCTACTCCTTTAGTAAATCAACATTATGATCTCAAACTGGTTATCCAGCAGTACTCTGTCTCACCTTTTCCTCTTAGGAGGCTGTTCCGCAGGATCTGATCCACTTTGACTGCAATGTCAGAAACATTCTGAGCAATTGCTTGAATCTTCTCCATTAGACTCCCTGGCTGCAAACTGCAAGACACACACTTCCAGTGACACACAAAGTAGGCAATGCACGTTAGCTTTCCTGATTATACGGAAATAATGTAAAAAGCAATGATCATGGACAATGATTCATGTGCAAAGGAGTAACCCCCAGCAGTCAGATTCAGTAAAAGATTCAGGGCCCATTTACTCCTGCTTGTTACCACAATGCATGTATATATATATATATATATACATACATACATACATACATACATACATACATACATATATGAACATGTACACTAAACTACATGTACACTAAACTCCCAGTTACATTGTTTACATTCTGCTGCCGACTGCAGAATCTAGCCACCGGCTGGCAGCAAGAAGGAAATATAGAATTTAGTTAGCAACTAAATACATTTTAGTGCGCACCAAGCAACCGGCAATTTATCAGTGTGCATCAAGCCACTGGCAAAAAAAGAAGGACATATTTATTTTTTTTGCTGGTTGCTTGAATGCCGGATCATGGTGAGTTTTCTCTTTCTCTCGAATGAGACATCACACTTTCAGCTTGCAATGATAAATTTCACTGTACTGGGGTTTTTTTTGTACAAGCTCCTATATTTGCAGTCGCTGGGATTCCCTAAACCTCCTTGCTATCATACACACGCATACACATGCAGAGTCACATGCATACACACAATGGGTTGAACTTGATGGACCTGTGTTTTTATTCAACCTCAAATACTATGTAATACAGCAGAGATTTTTGTTATCCAGAGAGAGACGTGGAGAGTTGTTCCGAGTTTGCCCCATATTGTCCTTCTGATTGCTCAGAGAATCTGGACATACTGGCAGAATTTATCAAAACTGGAGCAGAGAGAATCTGGAGCAGTTGCCCGTGGCAGCCATTCAGCTTCTCTCTTGCGTTTATTCAATTAAGTTTTGAAAATTATATTTTTCCATTGAGAACAACTAAAGAAAACCTAAAAAGTTAGGCGCCAGCTGTAAATTTTAAGGACCATTGGCAACCTGTCTCCTGGTTGTATCTGCGTTCATTAGCTAGACATATATCCATCACAAAATCTGCTGATTACACTAACGTTTCATTCTGCTTATGCAGATGACTCTGAAGCACTTGTTTTAATGAGTTTATTTATTTCTCTATGATTTAGGGTAAACCATGATTTTTACTATCTATACCCTTAGTCAGACCAACTGATCACGTCAATATAAATGATGTCAGTCGGGATCATATTTTTCTGGCTACCAATATATTACAGAACATCCACCTTTGGTAGTAGGCAGCTTCCTTGAGGATCTTGTGTTTCAGTATCATAGTTCTGTAACTGTCTGCCTGTAGAGTGTAAAAGTTACATTAATTCTTCTATCAAGTAAATGTATCTCGACAACCCCCAGCATGCTTTGCTGCTATGCCATAAAATTCAGCATTTGGCACGGAACTGTCAGGATTAAGACAGAATCACTGCACATTGTCACTGACGTGATGTCAGATTCTGTGCATATCTTCTAGTTGTTCTCTGGAAAATTTCTGATCTTCCACCTTTTCCGCACTAAAGCGTGGCAATGAATGAAAACTCGGGCGATGATGAATTGATGTTTGTAAGGAATCAATACATTGGGAGAACTAGTGATAAGGTTACAGACCTGTCCAAAGTGAAGTGCCCGCTCTCTTCTGCCCTTCGAGACTCACTAGCGTTTTCCAGTCGTGCTAAGATGTCCATCCTCCTCACCAGGGTTTCCAATATGTCATTCATCCTCCGCAGAGCTCCTCTCGACTCTCCCAAGCCTAGAACTGAGAACAAAGAGCACCAAAATTTTTACTGGCGATGGAACAGGGCAAGTGGAATGCATTCATTTGTTCCATTGGTGGCACGTTTGGTACATTGGAAGCCTAAAGGGGTCATTTATAAACCATCACATAGCTCTGTTCTCCACGTTTTCTGGGAAAAGTTTATCTTGCCCCAATTTTACACATACAATATGTCATGGAAACCCAAATTCAGGGGTTTCAATAACGTTGACTGTTGAGGCCATATTAAAAAGTAAATGTATTTATTTTTACATGCATTACATGGAGAACAAAACAGAGTATTGGAATCTACATTGCTCTGGCTGGCTATGGTCCTAACACAATATATATAGGGTCTGAGTTGGGTGGGAACCTGCCTATCTATGTCCTTTGAAGTGTAAATCTTCTTTCTGATGGCATCTGCAGAGGTGACAAAACACATGTTGTTTATGATGCTTCTAATAGGACAGCTGTTGTGCACAGGAACCAATTTCCTTGTAAATAGATTTGAAGATGCATTCCAGGGTGGTCATCACATAAAATAAATGCAGGATGTTAGGCAATACTAGATTGAACCAAAATATGTTATAAATAAAATGGCTGTTCCAATTTCCCACTCAAATATGATTGACAATCATTAAATTCGAAGATTAAATGTGGTACTCACCTTATACTATGGAATCTGTACCCAACAAATCAAGCAGAGGACAAAGAACTATTGACCAGTAATGCTCGGGGTCTCTCTACTCCTTTACTCATTACTGACTTACAGTGATTTGCTCTGCACTATATGTTTATGTACATGTGGTCATCTTGATAGAGGAGCAGGGCTTTGTCTTATTATATTACAACTGCCCCTCTGATAACGTGTGATCTGATGACTGGTGGGGGGAATAGCAGGAGAGGTGCAGAAAGCACAGATCCATAGAATAAATTAGAACCAGCAAGGAGGAATACATAAAGAAGCATAGTAGCAAGATCACCATGTTTCACTCCAAATCTAGTGAGACTAGCAGTCAGAGGTAGCAGTGTTTTTTTATGATCTCACACTGCAGATAGGCTACTGAACAGGTTCTCCTTGGCATATTCACAAGCCAGGAAACTGTCTATTTTCAGGAATAATTCTGATTTAACCTTTTATTGAGCAATAACAAAGGGCAAAGAACATAAGTAGAACAAAATGAGATAGGTATAAAGAGACCAGCATCATGAGTGCATGTATCAAAATAGTGCAATATGGTACCAGGCACAGCTGGACCATGTGGATACACAAAATCACATAACACCACAGAATCATCAACAAAGTTACTGTAACTACAAGTTGTAATGAACTGATTATAGTTAAAAACAGGAATCAAGAAAGAGAACAGTAGAGGAAGCAGAAAAGAAAGGGGAAGTAGCAACATGGAAAGGAACCCCAACCCTTAGTAGAGTTTAATACAGAAAAACTGTCAGAACAGTTTACTGTAATGCAGAACATTTTCTAGGGCTCCAAGAGTGTGCTGTCAAACCAAAGGTAGAAATATGCCAATCCAGGGTTGTCACACTTTAGTATATAGAGTCATTTTGTCCAAGATGGAGGCTTCAACTTTTTAATGAATCATAGCTTATGTGACTATGATTAAGTTCGACAGGTTGAAGTTTTCAACACTTTAGCAATGGTTTACTTAGCAGATGTCACAATTTGTAATTGCAAATTAAATTGGGCAGTAGTGATTCCATCTGGTTGTTTATTAAGCAAGGGATGGGCTGGACATACAGGTAGAGCACCATTTAAAAATGGAGAACAACATTCAAAAAACCTGTTTCCAAAACAAACCTACTACAGGGCAAGTCCACCAGGTATGGAAGAAAGTGCCTCTCTCATTGCAATCCCGAAAACAGGAAGCTGGGTACAAATTTAGCAATTTTGGATTGCACAAAGTATTATCAGGAAATCAGTTTAAAATAGTTTTTTTGCTGGAAAAATTCAATATACATGGTTACATGGTTACAAGTACATGGTTCAGGGTACTGCTTTAGCACAATTTATTCTAACATTTCTAGATGTTCCCTTTTATATAGCAAGTCTTTTTTTTTTTTAAACCAGATACATTTATGGAACATTTTAACAATTTTAACAACACTCCCCCCAAAAAAGGGAAGAAGAAGAAAGGGAGACAAATAACAGCATAAAGACCAGTAACAGAAAAAACATATTCGACTAATGTGCATAGCATAAAGCATAATATTAGGATTCTAATACAATGCTATCAATACTACTAAGGCACAGATTATGATATGAAACATAGCATGGCAATAAGAAGGAGCTCAAGAGCACCATACTAATATATCTGAAGTGCATCTAAGGTTTAAGTTGGGGGATATTCCCCAGTGACAAATATTGTTGGAACATCTAATTGTGGCTATGAGTGTGAAGAGATAACCATCTGGACCAAATCAGGGAAAATTTATTTCTGCTAATCCCTCTATACTGATATGTAATGCGCTCAAATATTACAATGCGATCTAACTCAGAAATCCACTCAGATAGTGTGGGTGGAGAGGTGGATATCCATTTCCTCATAACCAACCTTCTAGCTGTGAATAAGGCTCTATGGACAGCCAATGTTGTATGTCAATCTAGAGTAGAAGTGTCCAAAACACCTAATATCCAAGTATGAGGAGTGTTATCAATCATACATAATACCAAATACCGAGTTAATGGTTGCCAATACTGCACTCCAATAGCGGACCAGTTTGGGACATCTCCACAATAGATGTATTAATGAGCCCGGATGAGAGCCACATTTGGAGCAGATGGTCTTTCCTAATATTAATTCGAAACAAAAATTCTGGAGTACGATTAGTTCTGTGTAATATAGCAAGTCTTTACTTTTTGAATATAGGTCCACTTTAAATGTTGGATCAATAAACATAAAATGTTCTCTCAGTAGATGTGTGCCAATAGATAATATTCTTTATTTGTGATATATTATGGTTGACAATGTTTGATGATGTGCCCAGAGTGCAAAGATCCTTCAAAATGCATAGACATAACAGTTTTATTTATTAACCACAAGCAGAATTGCACTGGAGATCCATTTAGTCCAGATACACAATTACATTAACAGAAAAGCAGTAACATTTGTTTGTTTGTGAGAAATAGGTCAGCATGAAGCATGTGGGTCAGAAAGAAGATCTCTCGAAAAAGGAACAATGTTTCTGCTAAATATGGCCAGCATGGGTCACTTGGCACCCTTGCCGTTTTATTTTCTTGAGAAATCTTGGTCTTATCTGTAAAACGGGGCTTAAAGCTGAACTCAAGGCAGATATAATAGGCACAAATTACTGCAACTCTTTAATAAATAATAAATCAGATAAGCTCATCAAGGTGCTGTTTCTTCTATCACTGTCCAGTTGCAGGCTGGAGGTGTGGTGATGACCTGTAATTGAAAGTGAAACTGCAGCAGAGAAATATCAGGCCTCCTCCCTTGCCAGGTAAGGTAGGACTGTGCTGTGTGGCAGGTTTGGGCAAATCTCAAGACTGGAAGGACAGAAATACAAATCCTATAACAGATAAAACATCTCCTGTATATGCATTTCCTCTGTGTATTTCACTATTTGCTTGGAGGTCATCTTACGGTAGAATAGAAGCAGGGTCAGTGCTCCCAATAGGCAAACTAGGCAGCCGCCTAGGGTGCCCTGTTGCCTAGGGTGCAGCCTCAACCACTCGACCCTCTAAACTCCCCCCCCCTCACCCGTCTATTTCAATCTGAAACTTTCTCAGGTCCGCTTCTCTGCTCAGTGGGTGGGGTTTCAATAGCCAGTCCGCTATTGGCTATTTCAAATTGAAGTAGCAAACAGCAGTCTGGCTATTGCTCCTGGCTGGAGCCGTGTGAGGGGGGGAGATTGGGGGTGCAAGTAGCTTTTCTTGCCTAGGGTGCAAAATAGTCTAGCACCGGCCCTGAATAGAAGCTAAAGGTGTAGGTGTGCTAACAGAGGAAGTGAACAGGGCAGCGGTTAGGAAAGGTGGAGGTTTTCATATGCTGATGATTTCTGGCATGGAAGGCCAGGAAATCGTGCCCAGGCTGGAGAAGTGCCTTGATATTGCTACCATAGAAATACTTTCATTTGCAATGACAGCAACTCAATATAAGCTAGCAGCAATGCTTGCCTGAAAGAAGATGATGGCAGTACCTATTTCAAATTCTAAAGCCTTAAGGGAAAATCTGCTGTGTGAGTGCTTATTTGGACCAGAGAGATTTATTAACCAGCTGCACAGCTACATCCTCTACACACTGAGTGACAATTTTCTGCTCAGTGAACTAACTACAGGCCTAAAAAAATCTCTTTCACTGTTACTCTGTGGAGCAATTGCTTATTTGCCCTTACCTTGTTGGATTCAGCCCAAAGGCAAGGAATGTCTAGCCTAGGGGATGGGTTGCGGTGTTCAGCACAGAAGGCATTTCAGTTCCAGTTCTTGGTTTATTATATGGTGGCAGTAAACTGTCACTGAGAATTGTGGCATGTGTGTGTATGGATAAAACGTATTTACAGTTTTGCTATGCTGTCAAATTTAGCATTCCATAGTTCTTGTGGGAAGTAAGGGGAATTCTTTATAATGGAGCCCTAGATAGCAGAACTATAGTCGCAATGCAAACAATTACAACAGATTCATCTAAATTAAATACAGCAAACAGCATAAACTTTAGAGAAATTTACATTTTCTGTCTCGTTATAAATACCTAGTGATTAGATATGAGCTGAGGTCTGATCCGAACCTAAGCTCCTCTGCACCTGAGCTCCCCTGAACCCAGAAGAAGCTCCTCCCACACATGTGCTGCCGAATTAGCTGCTGGTGGGGAATTTCCCATCCCCTGCTTGCCGTGAGCAAAGGGGTTGGATGCAGTGATCTCATTGACCTTATATGGATAATTGCCTATATTTGGTAAATTACATATACCTAATATGGCTATGTGACCATATTAGGTAAATTACATCAGCACAAGCATCCCAAGTGA